TTCTGTTTATTTGTTTGCTTGTTTGCTTGCTTGCTTGCTTCATTGTAAAATCACAGTTATTTGCTGCTGTTGTATGAATTATTATTTTTTACTTTCTTCATAATTGTTATTGTAGGTATTGTTTTTAGAGTTGTTGTTTTAAAAATTAACTAATTAAATATATAAATATTTGCTATTGATTTACAAAATCAAATAATATAAAAAAAAACAAATTTTTTAGCGGCGGTGGTGGTTTTCTTGATACACTTTCAAGTATTTGCTTTCTTTTCTTCACATCTGTATTTTGTAGATGTCTTAAATTTATTTGTTTATTAACTTTTTACTGCAAACAAAAAAAATTGATTATTTCTTATTTCATTAAACATAAATAAATTCTATTGTTCCGCTTTAGATTTCTTTGTATGCTGCTTGTATTAATAATAATTATGCTTTTTTATTGCTATTTTTCACTATTTTTTGTTGTAGCTACTTTGAGTTGCATTGGTTTTATGTATTTACACATATTTTGTATAGAATATACATATGTTCGTATGTATGTATGTTTGAAAACAAAAAACTATGTATTATTGCAATAATTGTAATTCTAAATATGTATATAAAAACTTGTACAGTTGCCTCTTTACTATTTGTTTGCGTATTATACTTAAGTTGCTTTAAAAATATTTTATAAATTTCTATACACATGTATATGTATGTTTTTAACTATGTAATTGAACAAAAAATTGGCTATTTTTTATTTCAGGTTATTGTTTTTATGTGTGTAAATTATCGCTGCTGCTGCTTTGTAAAAAATATATGAATGTACCACATGTACATATGTATGTCCTGAAATAAAACTACACAAAAATGAACTATTTGTAAAAAATAAAAAATAAAAATACTTTTTAGCAGTTTCTTGTTTTTTTGCAGTATTTGTTAAATAAATAGTTTATGTCTATTGCGGCGCATTATTGAAAATTTCTTCACTGTAATACTTTTCAGCTTTCGTTTTATTTTTTTGTTTTTTTCTTGCCAGCTGCTGTGGTTGTGTTCTCGTTTTTTGTGTGCATTTATTTTTATTAGTTTTTTGTTTCATTTTGATTGTTGTTTTGCTGAAACCAAATCTGTTTTTTTTTCTTCCATGTATGTATTTAGTAGATCGATACACGAATACAGTACAGTTTGTTTGCATTACTTTGCACTTTTTAATATTGTAAGTTAAACTATTTACTAAGTTCTTGCATTACCTTCTACTTTTGTTGTTGTGCCTTTCTTGCATATTTGCCTCATTGCTTCGAATTTAAAATCTCTTGTTAGCATTTAACTATTTCAACTAATTAACTATTGTGATGTTTTCTAACTATAAACAAAAAAATGTATTTATTAATTGAACTTAATTAAAAGATGAGTAAACATATCCTTTGTAAGTATTATTTATATTTATTAAAAAATAAACCCTCTGTTTGGCTTTATAAGCTGTTTATGCCTCAATATCCGCTTAACTCACTTGCTGATCACTGATTATTGCGCTCTTGAGCGCAGCTTTTCTGCTCTCTGTACAGCTAGAAATTTACTTCCATTCAGAAACTAGCACCTACATTAGGGTGGTCATTAAAAATATCACTCCTTTATTTTGTTCTAAATAAAAAAAAACACATTGACGAAAATTTTAAAATTAAAAAAAAATATTTATGCGACGCTACTGGGTTTTTGAAATATTTAAATTGTTTTTCAGAAATTGCGAAAATTCGACAAAATTTTTACTTTGACCAGCTATAACTCAGCGAGTTTATGCATATACATACATACATATGTGTATAAGTTTCAATAAAATGGCAAATTTATTAGATTTCATTTTAAATTTTGTCGAATTTTCACGATTTTTAAAACAAATTTAAACCTTTTCAAACGCTGGTAGCGAACTTATATTTTTTTGTCTGAAAACTTCGCGGCTGTCCTTATTTTGTACATAGAACAAAATAAAGAGGTGCCCTATACAAAATTTAGATGTTGCAATTTTAATGACCACCCTAACGTACATATTTTTGAAATTTCCAAATAACATGTTTTATCGATGGTTTTGTTCTTTTTCTGCTTAGATAAAAAAAATCACTATCACTAATTTTCTACGTGTGAAAGAGAGGGAGTGCAATAGATATTATTTTGTTAAAAAAATTAGGTATGCTCTTCCTAAAAGTTTCTAAAGTTTTAGAAGATTCAAATTTGAGTACTGAGAAAGATCTGCTTGGCAGTTTCTGATGATCTACATACAATGTACGTACTTACATATGTATATCAACTCAGGCAGAAAATGAACACAGAAAGGTGGTTTAGCATTTACTAAGGGAACTACACACATACATACATATGCACACGTAAGTATGTGCAAGTAAAACTAATTAGAATATTCGACAAAAGAAATTGTATCACCTGCATATTCAAATCATTGTATGTTTACTCAATGTCTCAAGCTAATTATTAGTGTTAGGCAATATCGATACCAAAAGTACTCAGAACTCGATTCTCAAAAGGATCGACAGCAGCCGATTTTTAAAAGTATCGATAATGAGTGCTCCAAAGTACTTAGTACTCACCAAAGAGCTTGAAAGTACTCAGTGCTAAAAAATTCTCTATTCCGATCATCACTTTGATACATGTACTCAGGATTGATTCAAAGTACTCATTATTAAGTGTCGTGTATATACTAAAAAGTACTGGGTTTTATTTACATTTACCGGTATTCAGAAATGATGTACTCAATTTGAAGTTTCAATAGCTTTCAAGTGCAATAATTTACCCAGTAAAGTTAGCCAATCATTTGATGTAATTTGGGATTAATGTATTAATTTGAATAAAGTACTGTCAGCTTGGGAGATTTCTACACCAATCATTGAAACGTTGACATGTATTTATTTAGAGAAAGTACTCAGAACTCTCAAAAAGATCCGATCCTTAAAAGTATCGATACCAAAGAACTCGATCCTCACAACACTACTAATTATAATGAGTCAGATCGTACACTTGAGTTCATAACCGGAAAAGTGTGGTCCACTCTGCTAATAAACTGATTAACATAGTGGCTGGGGAGAATTGTAGAGCTGTTAAGAGCCAATGCGCGCTCTAGAGGGGTTTAACCCTGTAGAGTTGGTGTGCGGTAGAATTTGTAAAGCAATCTTTCTTTTTTTAATCCTTTATTTTCGCTCTTTATAGATGAGCTAAAGGTTCTGTACATTCTATGTTACAGAGTCCATTTAATTATTATTTTTTTTTGAATTTTGAAAGTAACTTTGAGCGTGCGGCGAACTGCTCTGGAAGCCAGCTCTATAACTCCACCAAGAGCTTAGTTACACAGCACTAGAATATTAACTGTCTCATGAAAATCTGATTTTACAACAATCACTTCACCGCTTCCAATTTTGTTTCGAAGATTCTTCATGGACAGACAAAACTTTGGTCGAACGTACTACTCGATTACAAGTTTGTTCAGATAATTTTGGAGAACAAACCATCGATATTTTTGTAAAGTTTTATTTCAAATTCTTATCAGGATACCACTGATTTAAGCTCTTCGAAAAATTTAATATCTTTTTTGGAAAAGAGGGTTTTCAAACCTTGAATTAGTGAATTACTCGAAAAATTTACCTTTACCTTTGAAAAATTCTGGTTCTCGAAAAGTGTAAAATTTTCTTTCTGTTTTTGAACACAAGGGTAAATATTAATTACATACCTTTTTTATTCTTTGTCATTCACCTCAATTGAATACATTTTCGAATCAAAAGTTTTCTTAACTCCTAAATTTCGTGATTTTCGCTAATCTCCCTCTCCTTCAATAAAGAATTTTCAAACATATACAGAATGTTTAAATTACTGAATTTCAAGCAAAAAATTTAAAGAATAAAAGGTTTAGAGAACTTGCTTTCAACAGTCCAAAATAGAGACTCCCTTAAGACTTACAACTAAATACCTGCTTACATATTTATGTATATAAAAAATATTTTTTAAACCTTCATACGTAATATCTACTACCCGTGTTTATGGTTTTACTTAATAAAATTCTGAACTTTAGCACTTCTAACTAAGCAAACCGAACTCTAAATGTATGCTTCGCATTGAACATATTCTTAAAATAATTCTTTATACGTCTTAACCAAGGATTCTACATAATTTAAAAATAAAAGGTATGAGTTTTGCGGTAGAGCACTAAAAACGATCGATAAAATTTTTTGGTGCCTTCATTTCTAGGCTCCACTTTGCCTGTTTTTTCCTTAAAATTCATTGCCTCGCAAAGAATGTGAGCTTATTTCTAGTTGTAGTTGTTTTACGCAGCCAGTGCTCTCATATTTGTGTACATAAAATTTTATTTTTGCGCACGATATTCTGTAATTATTAAATTTTGTGAATGTGTATTTGTTGTTTTTATGTTTTATACTCTCTTGCATATTTTTTCCTCTATCATTTTGTGTCATAGCATTTTTTTATCCACTTATCTACGTATATTGCTGTGTCTCTTTCCCCGCAACATCTGGCAATGCACAGCTCTCCGCTGCGGCAGTGGCAGCTACAAAGCAACTCCACCACCAATGTTCCCACCACCAACGCTCCCTTGGCTGTTCATTCTATTATCTGCGAAGGAGTCGTTGTCTCCTCCGCACCTCATCTCAGCGTGGTGCATTGTGTATATGAGTTGTAAGATGCTTCGATAGATAGTCGGCGCGTGCGAAACATTTGCCGCACGATTCGCAGTGATATGGCCGTTCGCCGGTGTGTATGCGCAGATGGCGAGTGAGGTCCGATTTTCCACCGAAAGCGCGTCCACAGAAGAGGCACACGAATGGTCGTTCGCCAGTGTGCTTGCGCACGTGCAATTTCAGATTCTCCTTCGAGCGTACGCATTTGCCGCAGAAGGGGCAGGCGAAACGTGAGGTTTGGGGGCTGTAAGTTGTGTGAGATAAATTAGTAAATAAATACTTAAGTATGTGGGCATGCATGTGTGTTGGATACAATTTTCGATTTATGACGCTGGGACCAAGAACGCGTTCCGGTCTGCACGAGAACAAAATGTAATGTTAACAAGTAATTTTTAGCAAAAAAAAAACCGATTTAAAAAAAAATATATATCTCTATATATTTCATGATCCAATGATCGGATCTAAACCAGATTAGTATGGGACCACCTCTGAGACCCTACCTTTCCGATGCAAAAAGAATTATCGAAATCGGTTGACGTGGTCTAAAGTAATGCGGTAACATACATAAAAAAAACAAAAAAAAAAAAATATTCCGACGAACTGATAACCTCCTCCTTTTTTGGAAGTCGGTTAAAAGCGCTCCCGCAAAAGAACCAAACGGGAACAGAAGTGTGGAGAGCAGGGGAACAAAATGAGAATAAAGACTTTGGGAACGTTTCCGTAAAGAAAGGAATGTGGAAAAAAACTCTCGAAGACATTCTCAAGTATCAAGAAAATCAAAACTTTTGAGATCTTAACGTTAAGAATTAGACGGGGGTCTGCGCCTTGGGATGAAAAATCGTTTCAGTGAGAACCGTGATTGTTAATTCCAAGCCAGAGGAAGGCTGGATCATTTTAATCCCTAGATCGTTTATCATTAGGGTGAACTGTCCGTTTATGGAAACAATTTTCAGTTTCTGTGCAAGAAAAGGTCGTGTCTGAAGTTTTTCGTTGACTTAATTTGCATAACTATTTTTCAGTTCTTTTTTTTATAAATTTTAATATTCAAACATTTCAAACTAATGCAGAGCTATGAGAAAAATCTTTTTCTCGCTTCCATTCTGCGCGAATAGCTCAGAGAAGATTGGTTCCTGTTTCGTTCTCTGTCAAAAGGTACCTGAGATTTTAGGCCACAAATTGTTATTCGGCAGAAAGTTTCTTAGATTTTTGTTCCCGTTTTATTGTTTGCCAAAACGTTCTGGAGAATTTTGTTCTCATTTCGTTCTCTTAGAAATCTTCGCGAATATATTGTCCGAATTCTGCTTGCTTTGGGAATGTTTCCCAGCGAGCGTTTTGTTCTTGTATAATTCTCGTTGAGAACATTCTCGACAGTTTTGTTCTTACTTTCGTTCTTGCGAAAACACTCTCGATTTGGGTTTTTAAGAATTCTTTGGAACAAAACTGTCATAAATTAAGCAATTTGGTAAAAAGAAATTCTGTTTTCCCAGTAGGAGGTTCTTTAGTTCAACGCTACGGAACAAAAATGTGGAAAATAATATTTTTTCGAAATTACATCACGTCGTTTAGAGTAAAATCTTTTCACATACTGGCGATACGTGCCTTAGAACTCTTCAATTTTCAGCTGTCGCTCTGCATACGGCTATACCCTGCCTGTAAAACCATATAACTTACCGCTTATCCCGCTGACGTTCTGCTGCATCGACACGCAGAAAATTGAGTATTGAAGCCTCCTGTGGATTAAGGCCCAGGAATTGTTCGTTCGGTATGCGCTCGGCATTGATCAGCGACGTGATGGAGTTGAGTGAATTCAATGTGGACGCAGCAACGTGATGCGCATGCGCATGTGGATGATGCGAATGGGGCAGAGAAGCGTGTGTGTGTGCATGTGCATGTGGATGCGGATGTTGATGTGGTGGCAGTGATGTACCAGCCACACTGCCTTGCAAATGTGGTGGCAACTGTTGTTGATGTTGCTGTTGCTGTTGTAGTTGCTGCTGTTGGTGGTGATGATGTGGATGCTGTGGATGGCGTTGCATATGATGATAGGAGGGATCCGTTTCCATTTGTGGAGTTGTAAGAAGGCGAGGCTGTGGGAGAGTGGAGAAAAATTCGGTGATATTATTTTTCAACCGGACATGGTTAGGCAGGTTTTTTTTTTGCTCTCATACATATGTATGCTTCTATGCATTCATATGTACATATATTTACATATATGTGAGTAGATCTACTTCTTCTTTTT